TTTTTTTTTTTTTTTTTAACAGGTCAAGCCAATAAAATGCAACTCAAATTTCCACTATATTCAAAAATGCCACCAATCCCCCAATCATCACACAAAATCAGTCAATAGGTTGACAATAAATAGTTTTAAGCTCAAAGGGCTATTAGTGGAATAAATTTTAGGACCAAAGAACAAGGCAGAAAGAGAGCTAATCAACAAAATGCCTCAATCATATTCGCAATTTCAAACTCAATCGTTTCCTTTCAAACAAACTCAAGGCAAGTTCTAATCATTCAAGAATATGACCAATATCTCACAAGAAAAGGATAAGGCTCAAAACCTCACAAGGTAAATAAATGTCACTCAAAGCAATCAAGCAAATACCGAGGCAATGACCAACACGTTCATTATCACAACTTCCCAATTTCATCAAACATTCATCAACACAACTTATAATCCACCAATATCATGCTCGACAAAACAAAAACCTAAAGCTAGATCGGTCCACCACATAATCATGCAAAAACCGAATAGACTCCCCCACACTTAAAATGAGGCGATGACCTCATTGCTTCAACATAAAACCAGGAAGTCAAATAAAGGACCTAATAATTTCACATAATGAATCAAACTAGCAGCTTACCCAAGACACAAATTCAAAAGAAAAGACGAGAGAACGAGAACTCAAAAAAAGAAAATAAGAAAAGGGTGTGCAAACCGAGATGCCTCGAGGAGACTAAGCATCCACGTGCGAGCCATTCGCTCACGCTCAGCTCAGAACCGCGATACTCCTTCTGCTCGTGCTCATAAATGGTACCTGCCGAGAAAAATCACGAAACTCCAAACTTCCCATTATTCAAAAAAATAAAACTAAAAAGTATAAAAGGAAATATCTACGAAAGCAGTAAATCGCTTGGGTTGCCTCTCAAGAAGCGCTTGTTTAACGTCATTAGCTTGACGAAACCTGAGGGGAACTCAACCGGGATCTAGGAAGAAGTGACGGTCGTGCCATGCCTTCGTGTTTTCCAGAAGTAGCATGTGTAGCTTGGCGAGAAGGCTGGCACAGTGGATTCGGGTGGCGATGTTCTGGATGAAGTGGGTTCGAGCACGAGCAATCCCTAGTAATCGACATAGAGCTTTTCCCACATGAGCTATGTCATCAACCTTCGGAATAATAAGCTCATCTGTGGAGCAAGTCGAACTGAATCCTTCCAACTTTGTAACATAGTGTAAGGGCCTCGAAGATAGGTGCTCTAACTCAGAGGTGGGAGGTTGGACTTGAGAATCAAGCCCATGGATCTCCTCCTCTGAAATATCATCAATGTCTCGCTGGGAGTCATCGTCATCTTCTTCAGCCTCACACATTTGCTTCATCGTGCGAGCATGAGTATCAAGCATGAGGTGGGGTTCATCGACTTGTGCCTCTATAGAGTCGAGACGTGCAGTGAGGCTCTCTATTTGTGTGCTCAGTCGAGCACATCCGAGTTCAATCTCTCCTTCTCGGTTTGCTCGGGCCATCATCTAATCTAGGATGAGATCGAGTTTGGCATTGTAGCCCGAAGAGTCATCCCCTTGCTCAGGGAAGTGCAAGGGTGTCGGATTGGGGTCCACAACCTTGTGCTCATTGGCCTGGGACTCGATAGAGTCGATGCGCCTTGCTAGATTCTCCACTTGCTCGCTCAAACGGGCACATCTAAGCTCCATCTCCTCCTCTCGTTTTGCTTGGGCCATCAATCGATCTAGGATGAGATCGAGTTTGGCATTGTAGGAGGCCTCATCTTCTCGAGCTGATTTGGACTCTATGAAATCAAGAATCTGGTCGAGCTTCTCGTTAAACTTGTGGGACTCATAATGTTGCTCGACCGGGAAGGGATCCCAGCACTGCTCAGAAGAGTATGGATAATACTGGACGTTGTACCTGGTGTGGTAGCTCGGCTCGTTAACCCAAGAGGGGTAGTGCAGGGGGAAGTACACGTGATTGAAGTTCATTATACCTGCACACCAAAACAAAAAAAACCACGCGAAGCCACGAAAAAGAGAAAAACAAAGAAGACGAAAAGAAAAACAAATATGCGCAAAAAGAAGAACAAAAATACGAAAAACACAAAACAAAGAGAAACACGGAAAATAAAATCAATACCAAAACCAAATATCCTACTTGCCTTCCCCGGCAACTGCGCCAAATTTGTTGTGTACAAATTATTCTATTTACCGAGTACCGAATCGAAAGATTCATTCCCCGGGTCGATCTCACGAGGAAGGCTGTTCGGAATTTAGCTTTGATTTTGATAACACATAAAAGCAAATAAAATCCTAAACATACTAATCAGATAAGGGGGTTTGAATAATTACCAACTAAGAAATAATATAAAAGCAATATTCTACCTAAAATATAAACGTAACAAAGATGGAGAAACTAGGGAATCGGGGACAATTAATTCAAGTTCTAGCAAAATTGGGCGATTCATTATCCGGTTCGAGATTGACACTCTCGCTTAGACATCTAGCGGTTCGCTCCCAATACTCTTCGTAACAAGGGATTGAACATAGACGAACAAGTTCGAGCATACAACACAGGCCAATTATCCCAATCCCAATAACTATTCGTAACAAGGGACGGGTCATCGACAAGTGCGTATTTCAATCTAAAACACGTAGATTAGTCAATTACGACATCGTCTACCTCATGCGAGCCTAGGTCAACGACTTCTCTCCTTTCGGTTCCACAAGTCGCTAATTAACTAGAAGGTGATTAATCAACTAATCGCATAGAATCAACAAAACCCTAACTCGACTAATCAACATTCAATTGTTATCAATTGCAAGATCGAAGTGTCACTCTTCGATTATATCAATCAATCAAGCAAGATTATATCAATCCCTAATCAAAACAACTCACATAAAAACGAACAATTTCAAGCCCGAGAGATGCACGTTAAACAAGAATAATCATTCCCCTATCCCCAGCGATACGAATTAGCTACGCATATTGAATTCAACAAAATAAATCAATTCTCCAAATTTAATCATTATTCATGAATTAAACAACAGAGAAAAGCTTACAATCAATCCAAGGTCCCAAGTCGAATTCGTAATACAAGCTTAATCCGAAGACGAAAGAGAAAAGAAATGGAAAATAAAGATAAAAAGAAGAAGAAAACTCGAGAAGAAGAAGGGAAGGAAGAAGAAGGGAGTTCGTGATGTTTTCGGGACCTAGGGTTCTACCCCCGGTCGAGAATTCGTCAAT